ATAACCTAAAGTTTTCAGTATGTTTTAAATTAATTATTCATAATTCTAGATAAATTTACAAGATTACGTTATCAAAAATGTGACTCGAATTGTTTGTAGTTTGCAGAAAGAGCACACTCTGTGAATTTTTAAGTTAATGTTTCGAACTGGGTGACAATTGTTTTTTGTTTTTTTTTGTTATATTTATTTTTCCACTCAGAACTCAATTATGCTTTGAATCATTTATGTTGGATATCAATAATTCCATTATTTTACTTTAAATAAAACTTTGATACTTCTTAGATTTTCACTTTATTTCACATATTTATCATTTACCATGGTCCCTAAAGTTTGGGAACCGTAGACCGAACTTGCACTAAATTTCGAGTAATTCCGAAATATAAATGTCACATAAGTATATTTAAGCTACTCAGGGGATAGTAGGGAACAAAAAAAGAATCTAATTTTGAAATAGTTTTATTGTAAAATACTGAGGATATTAATAATAGTCATTGGAATAATGTTTTAAGATGTATATTCAAGTAAACTATGCGACCTTAGTTGATAACATTAACTACACCAATTCTGACTGGTAAACCAAAATTCTAACATACCGTCAACTATTCTCAAATCGTTTCGTAAATATCCGAATGCACCTTATTATTTTTTTTGTTTCAATCAGAAAAAAAATTGCGTGATATTTGCCGAGACCCCCCTTCTCTCCAACGTAAGATTAGATGAGATTTGACTCGACCCCCTCCCCCCTTAAACACCTCACGTAATTTAAGCCCTCACTTCATGAGAGTTACCAAACCTTCTTTAGGCGTCCAGCCCCCTAGTGAAAATTAATGAAAACTTGATACTAGAATACTTTCATCCTTTTTTTTAAATAGGAAAAGAAGAATCTAATTTTCATGTGAGAATGTTTTTAAAAAAGTTGTTTTTGCTAGTTATTCAGATCGCTTTACAGTTTCTAGAATTGTCCAAATATTATCCTTCTTAATTTGACTAAAACCCGATTGGGAAGCACATGAAATAAAACTATTTATAATCCCGTTCATTTCTAGGATTTTATTTAGGGGGGGGGGGGGGGGGGGGGGGGGGCAAGATCAAGATATTGTTCATTCGGGGCTAAAAGCCCTAAGTTGGCAACCCTGCGTCTCAGTCAGGTGCTGGGTAGGGGCTGCTAACCTAAATTATGTACGTATCCTACTTTTTTGATAAATATAGAGGAGAGTAACCAAATATGGGCTACCATTTTGTTTTTGCCTCAAAAATAAAAAACTATTAAAAAATTAACCATTTATTGACGTCAATATAATTACACATACATTTTTAAATAACTAATTAACAATCTTATATTTTTAATATTATAATATATTATTAAATTGAGCATTAAACAAAATATCAAAATAGGCGCTAAATATGGAACAGGTACTCAAATATGGGCTACAAATAGAAACTTAAAATATCTTGTACAAAAATAACAATTATAAATATTTATCTTATAAGAGATCAAATTACTTTGGTACATGGAAGAAATCACATAATTACTTACAAAAATCACATATCCAGGTGTCAAACTCGGGCCCAGCACAGTCATTAGGTATGTGCCCAGAGCTTACACATCAAACATCACAATTCTCCTGCCGCGTTTTCGGAAAAAAGTTCCTGACAAAACATACACGCTGCGTCGGCAGTGTCAGGAGCCTCTCTTCCTATAGGGGCATCTGGTTCACTATCTTGAATATCTTCTTCAACTTCAAGTTCGTCCTTGGCTTTCTTATTTCCTTTGCTTTTGCTTGGGTTTCTTATCTTTTATTTTATTTTCTTTTTCAATTTTCTTCTTATTTGTTTGAATAAGGTAATTTTTATATGGAGACGAAGTTATAAGCGAGGCCACAGCAGCTTTTCTACCTCTATTAGTTGTCTTTCTGACTTTTTTTGGCATGGGACTTATGTCATAAAGAAATACTAAACCTAGAATGCTACGATGAATTCCGGAAGACGAAGGTTGACAGTTATCTGTTGAATCATGTCCAGTTCCAGAAGTAGATTCTTCTGTTTGAGTCTCAGACCTCGACCATAGCCCATATTCAGGACCATAGTCATAGCCCATATTCGAAATTCTTTACTAAAATCAACTTAATCATGTACTTTACAAATCATAATAGCAAGCAATAAATCGACCGAAAATCATAAAATTAAACTTATATTCTGCAATAAAACACATAGTTATAGTATTTAAACCTAATTTTCATTCATTAAATAACACGTTGATACGTACCGCAGAAAATTTTTCTACAGCAGCAACACAAGTATAGCCGACACTGGCGACAGCTTGAGCGCAACTGACGGGAATGAGTGAGTGCGATATTAGAGCGAATGAATGCGATAGACGATCGTCGTTTTTTGAGTCTTTCGATTGTAGGTTTTCGAGAATTGTTACTAGCCCATATTAAAGCACTAGCCCACATTTAGTTACTCTCCTCTACTTTTAAAAATAAAATATGTCAAAATACTCTATTTTAAATATTTTCTGTGATGCATAAAATAAAACATTTACAATGTATGTACCCTATATGAATAAGTACTGAACTTATAATAATACTTCTAAATTGAAACAGTCACTTGATATATTTCTAAAGAAGTAAAATTTAAGTGACTCTGAGTTTCTCCAAAAGGGCTAGCTTTAAGAGACCACGTCTCAGTGCCATACGTCATCACAAACTGGTTATATACCCTTGTCTTTAGGCACAGCGGAATTTTGGACGAAAATATATCGCAAAGTTTTCCGAACTCGAGTTTCTTTGCATGACAAAATCCGGAACGAGGAATTTCGCCGAAGCACTGGAGTCACCGATATAGCCCTCCGGATTAGCAAGTTCAAGTGGCAGTGAGGAGTAAAAGTTCCCAGCAAGAAAGGCGTAGCGTTGGAAGGCCTCCCGCTAGGTGGACCGACGAAATTCGTAAGAGTAGCGGGCAACTGGTTCATTCAAATGGCAAAGGAACTATAAATTACTATTTTTTTAATTGTATTTAATGTTATTAAAATTATCTACAAAATAACAACTTTATCCAACATATTTTGTTTAACTTATATATTTTGTTGTACTTATTAAATAATGGAGAAAAAGTAAGTTTGTGATTTGGAACAGGCATCCCTAAACACACACATTATACAGTTTGTATACAAGTATAAGAGCAGTACTCAAACATATCACGCCATAGATGATATTTATTTAATGAAATCATCATCACGCAACTGACAGTGGTGGATTTGTAGTCTTAGCCACCCTAGGCACTAGCCCATGTAGTAAGTTCCAGACGCTCTTTTCTCAGAGCTCATCATAAAGTTTGTTATCATCAGTGAATTTTTTGTCACGATAGGCCGCCCCTAATATGTGGCCGCCTTAGGCCAGGGCCTATTGGGCCTTAGGACAAATCCGCCACTGGCAATTGGACTCACAGCGCATTTTGAGTGTCGTAGAGGAAAGCGTGGAGATAATAACGTCTGGTGAAATTCCTAATACTACCGCCTTGTAAATTCTGGGAACCTGTTCGTTGAATATGATGGATAAATATGAAAATGAGAAGAAAATAAATAGGCGCACGCGACAAGCGCTATATTATTTAAACCAAGTAATTTTTTTAACTTTCTTTTTGCAAAAAATAGTTGAAACCGTATTAATGAATTACTACGGGAAATTAGAGGGAAAAGGGGGAGGAGGATGAATTATTACGGATGGTCACCACGACGAGGGAGGTAAAAAATTTGTCACGGAAAAATGGGTCACGTACTAGGGGAACGTTTCTTATATCTGTCAATATGTCACCTCTGTGATTGATCAATTTTGATCACAGAGTATGATTTTGATTAAATATAGCAAGGTTCATGAAGGTAGTTGAAATGTGATTTTCTACTTTTAAAGAGTAAGTGTTTCATTGTGATGTCTCAATTGGTCAGCACGTAGTATATTAACATCTTCGTTTCCACCTTCTTCATCACTTGCCTTGTCAGCAATTGATAAAGTATATCCCCAAAGGAAGCGGGCGCCGAAAGTCATAGGCATACATCAGAGGCAAGCTATATAAATTTGCCAAAACACAAATTAACAAAATCTTTAAATAAAAATTAACCAATGATATTTTTTACTAAAGAAGGTTTGGTAACTTTCGTGAAGTGAGGGCTTAATTGGGACGTCTTGTCTTTATTTATTTTTTTGTGATATTGAACATCAAAGTTTTGTATATAGATAAAAAAATAAAGTAAAGTAACAGCCTAAAAATGTCCCACTGCTAGGCAAAGGCCTCCTCTGTAAAGAGGGTATCAGGGCATAGTCCACCACGCGACCCCACTGCAGATTGCCGGACTTCAAATATTTTCGAAATATGTTCTTGTTTTTATTTCGAAAATATACAGGTTTCCTCACGATGTTTTCCTTCACCGACAAACACGTGATAGTTCAGCACTTAAAATTAGCATTTCATTGGTGCTGGCACCGGGGATCAAACTCAGGTTGCTCGAGTAAATATAATTAACGGCGGCGCCCGGACACTGAGCGGCTCATGAAAATATCGATATCAAACGATATATTCCTCGTAATCGTTTCGTATATGTTATTATATGTTTTTATATATCGGACACATGCCTACCTATCAGTCAGCTGTCAGTTACTCGCACAGAGTACTTTAGTATATACTGGTTACTCGTGTCTCGTTGTCAATGTCATTGTCAATGTCATCTTCAGTCTTCACTAGTCACTTGCGCATCTTGAAATTGGCCGATTATTTGAAATGTATTAAAAATTTTATTGTTTATTATTACATGGTTAGCTTGTTTTTATTTTTTATTATTCCAATTTATGATTGTTTATTTATTCATCCGTCATTTGAACTGTTTCCTCTTATGAAATGTCTTAGTTATCCATAGATTTATGAAGTTAACGGACGCCCTCGTTGAGTAGTTTATTTTTTTGGCTTTTATAAACTACTTACGTTGAGTCGTTGATTATGAAATAATGGAAAAGGACAAAACTGTATCCGTTTCAAAGGTATAAAAACAATTAGTTATCGATCGCTTATGTATGTTAAAATATTAATACATATTAATATTTACAGGGTGTTTTTGTTTTTCCAAATGGATTTACTTCAAAAAAAATTAAGACGGCATCTACTTCACCGTGGCTTAATTCATTATTTACTAACGAGCCTTGGTATTTGAGATATAAAGAGAATTGGTTTACGTTTGAAAACGAAATAAAGGTGAATTTATGATTATATTTTAGTTCTACTACTAGTTTTTTAATGAAAAAGTATGTAAAAAAGTGGATAGTTAGCCTCACCTTAACAAACTACCGCCGTTCACCGACATGAAATTGTGAACAGGGATTAATTGTTGAACATACTTTTCTTTCCATAAAGGTTAAATCATCATTGTAATCATATTTATTTTGATTTTCAGTGTTTACATGAGAAAACATACAGTGTATTACTGAATGACATAGTACATTATATTAATTCTTTTTATGATGTGGAGCAATATGTAACACCAAAAGGAGTTATTCCAACAGCAACTCTATTGACTGGAGTTAATCAACCAGACCATGCATCTCAGTTTACTGCGCTTATAGATATAATCAGGTAACTTATTAAAGAGATACTTGTTATGCATTTGTATTTATTTGATTAGACAGTTTTCTTAAAAATAGCCATAAGCTGATGGACACATAAACATTGACTTGTTGCTGATATGGTCACACATTTTTTATGAATACTAACATACATATTATTTTTGGTTAATAGGCTTACTGATAAATGAAGTTAGCCTATTAAACAGCTAGCATAATATGCTATCTGGTACAATAACTTAATTAAGTTATTGTTATATTAGTGTAGTTTTTACTCATAATTGACCACTAACATTAATTCCAATATTAATTCAATTTTATAAGGAAATTGGACATAGTGACAGTGTATCAAATTAATATTTTTAAATTATTCTAGATATAATGTAACTCCACATGTGGCAATGATCAATTCTCAAGATGGCTCTTCAATAAAGTTAATGGTAGAAAATATAGTCTGGCAATTAATAAATGGACAAGATGTGTTGGTAAGTAATGCAATATAAATAAAAAAGTGGTTTCGTAACTTATTTATAATCATGTCTGCTATACCATTATAAATAGCTGATTGTGATAACTGCCATGTCCATTTCCAGCTGGAAAAATGATTGTAATGTCTATCAAAGAAATGTGATATCATTTATATTCTTAATATAGATATATCTTATAGAAGAAATAGAAATGTTGTTGTATATTGTTTAATTGTTAATTTAAATTATTGCATGAATCCACAAAAATATAATATTCTCTTTAAAGAATAGGATGAGACAAAAATAAAAAAATATAGCCAACTCCTAAATTGAAAAGTAATGTGGTCTGTTATTATTGTCTTGCCAGTTTTACTGTTTTCTCTTACATATTTTAGGATTATTCTGAACATGAATCTTTTGGTGAAAGTAGTGAATATAAAAAATCAAAGTTAAAAAAGAGCCAGTGTACTATGAAGTCCTTACAGAAATGGTATCAAAGCAGTTATGATAATCTAACTGAAACAGATCAGAAGAATTTGCCAAGTAAAAAGAAAAAAACTAGTTTAAGAAGGCTTTTAATCATCATAATACCTGACTTTGAGAGTTTTCACTGTAATATATTGCAAGATTTTGTAATGATAGTGAGGTAAGTCATAATATGAACACCTTTACGATAAATTTTTCATAATTAACTAGCGACTCGCCCTGGCTTCGCACGGGTGCAATGTATTATACATATAAACCTTCCTCTTGAATAACTCCATGTAGTAAAAAAAACCACATCAAGATCCGTTGCAGACTTTTAAACATCTAAGCATATGTAGGGACAGACAGTCAGCGGGACGACTTTGTTTTATACTATGTAGTGAAGCATTAAACAAGAGTTTTTTTTATGTTAGATTATTAAAATGTATATATATTTACTATGGTCATGGCTACTGACCTATTAAATGTCTTTTTAAAAGTATTACACAGTGTGTCTATTTTCTTAAGGATGATAATATGATTACTTAGATCATACATCAGTTATACCACTCATGTTGTTATCAATTATCTTATCCTTTAAACGAGCAATTCTTGTATATATATAATTGGAATCTCCGAGATTCCGATTATATATACACATGGCTCCAGCGATTTTCATGAAATTTAGTATATGCGTAGATTCAGGGGAGAAAAATCCATCTAGCTAGGTTTCATTTATAGAAAATGTCCTTTTATCCCTGTTTTCAGGGAATGAAAAATATCATTCGAATAAGACGGTAAATTTCGCCGCAAAAAAAAAAATGTTATAATAGCTGGGTCAGTAAACGGGCGACCCCAAAACAGACGGCCGTGGTTCGTGTTACGATTATTTACACACTCTTTTTTTACTTTTTTTTCAATTACCAGATCATTGCTTTCTTTATTTTTTATTTTTTTGTTTTTTTGTTTATTTGTTTGTTATGTTTATTTTTTTATTTTTAGTTCATATGTATCTACAATACCAATTGTTCTTGTTTTTGGAGTTGCAACATCAGTCTCTACACTTCACAAATTATTTCCATATCATGTTTCCTCTAAGCTTCTAATAAAAGTTTTTCATTCTCATTCCTCTCCGGTATATATGAATCAAGTGAGTACATATTTGTATAGTACAAATTAATTATCCATTGCACCAGTAACAAAATCACCAAATTCTAATATTTCAACCATTGTACTTATGTTTTGTAATGTTTGACTGAGTCACCCTAGCTCCCTCTTGAAGTAGAAGTCTGAGTAAAGTCTTTAACATTTAAATGTTTCTTGCATATATTTACATTATCATTGTGATTAATTTTATAATAGAGGAATTGTATTGAAAATATATCTGTATATAATTTTTCAGGTCCTCGAAAATATTTTCTTGACACACTCAAGTCCATTTCATGTATCAGGGAAAGCTTTTGAATTGCTAACAGATGTGTTTCTGTTTTATGACTTCTCTGTGGCTGGTCTTATACAAAGTATAAAGGTAACTTGACTAAAGCATTTATTTATGTACTGTTATAAATGTGGAATGTTAAATATCTAATTATTTTTAAATTTTCAGTATTGTATGATGGATCACTACTATGGAGATAATGTGAAATCCCTCTGTTGTCCGCGAGAGAAAATCGACGAAATGGTTTCACATATGAACTCGGAAGATCTAGAAAATGTTAGGCATTTGGTATCATTTAGAGTGTATTTAGAAAAGCAGCCTTGTCAAATCAAAATAAAACTATTCGAAGATGACAATTTTTTCAGAGAAAGTTTGTGTAAAGAGATGCATAAGCTACATGATTATTTATTTAGTTTCTATACATGTGTTAGGTTGCTTCATGTATTTGTGAAAGATTTACCAAAGAACATCCTGGGAAAGTCAGTAAGTTTATTTATATGTTAAAGAAGAAACTTAAATTATTTCTCACGAGATAATGATGGTGAAATTGTCCACTCATAGAAATTAAAATAAAATTAAACTATAAGGTAATTGTAGTAATATGCAGGTTTTGTTTCATCTGGTATGCGAGATAACAGCCCAATTACAACATATCTGCAATCTTGTTACTTTTGCAAACACCCATGGAAAGCAGTCACTTAGTTTAGTTTAAGTGAACACCTTGGCCAATTACTGTTTACCGTTAAAAAAATTAAAAACCAATAATATATCGTCGTTGGTTTGCTTGAAATCACTGTACAGCGCCATCTACCGGGAAATAGTTGCTGTTGGATTAGGTAGCATAATTGTGAACTTAATGTAATATATTTGTGTAGTATACATCATTAACGTATGTACGTTATGTTATTTTATCATAAATTAAGTACATAAAAAGCAAATACATACATAAAATAACTTTTATGTTTTGTAGGTACGAGAAATTTATTCGAAGTGCTCATTGGAAAGTTTGACTGACACCCAAGTATTTCGAGAGTGCATGCAATTGTTAAATTTCCAATCTCAACTGAAACTAGTTGATAGCATAAAAAATGCATTGAAAACAATGAATCAGTCATTAGAAATATCATCACCGGCCAAACCGCTGCGGTCCTCGCCAATGAAACATAATTTGAATAATGTAATATTTCATTCCGATTTTGGTCATACCTTCATCCAGTCTGTTCGAGTGCATTTGCTGACTTTTTTAAGGCAAATTGAGAATGCCAATAACGAAGCGACATTACTCACTAATAACACTCTTGAAGAAATGGAGGTTGACGGCGAAAACGTACTAGGGAACAGATACAAATTAAAAGAGGTGAATTAAGTTATTTTTTGTTTTTATTACTAACGATGATAGAATATAGAAGATTGTCATAGTTGTATTGATTTGTATTTTATACTAGCGACCCTCCCCGGCTTCGCATGGGTGCAATATACATATGAACCTTCCTCTTGAATCACTATCTAGTAAAAAAAAAAACGGATCTTGATATCCGTTTTGTAGTTTTAAAGATCTAAGCATACATAGGAACAGCGGTTCGACTTTGTTTTATACTATGTAGTGATGCACGGCAAAGAGACGTTTACATTTCAAGTGACATTTTACCACAGTCACTCACTTGTTTTGCCTTCCCGGAACCCCTCTACTAACACGTAAACTTTATGTTATGGTTTTAAAGTTCAAATTAATTTTTAATTATTATTACGAATCTTTTGTACGGGAATATAGAAAAGTGTTGTTTTTAGACTTTCTCAGGCAATTTTTTAATTTTTTTCTTTCATAAGATCCTTCTCCTGATAATAACAAACACAACAAAAAAAAGTGAAATAGGTCCAGCCGTTCACGTGTGATGGCGTGACCAAGGGAAATAGGGATTCATTTTTTTATATATAATATATAAAAGAGGTTGGGTAGCAAGTCCCAACGCTCAATGCGACCTAGAAGATCTATTGTAGTCTTCCCTTCGAAAACATTGCTCTTTTCTATATGTTAGTCTTGTTTTTTGTAAAGAGGTTTTACATACATTAATTTTCACGTGGGCAAACACCCAGATCCGAAAAAATTATCTGTCGGTCACATGAATAGTTGTCTCGTGTGGAATCGAATCTGAAACCGTCATAACAATATTTTATACTATAGATGTGTTATATATTGTTTTTTTGTATGTATTGATTTGATTTTGTAATCGCCGGTCACATTTTGTTCAAATGGTACAAAAAGGATAGCGTTATTAAACTAATAAGAAAAAAGAGGACGGCAAGTGTTTGTCACTTAAGCATAAGTGCAAAAAAATCTCGAGGTACATACGTCTTTCACGTCCCCTTTAATAAACTAATTGTCGCCCCCTTTCTTCATTCTATGTTTGCCACGAAAACCGCGAAATTTGCACGAAAAGAGGTACATTTTCGTGTTTTCACTCCGGTCGTGTTAACAAATCATTGTGTTATCATAGGTCGTTCCTTTTTTTTTTCTAGAAGCTGCTTCGGGCCACTAGAGTAGACCGTGTGCAATCTGAATATGAGATGATACGCGCACGATTCGTGAGTTACTTGGAAGAGGTCTTCGCCAAGGGTCTGCAGCCGCCGCATTCTCGAACGTTCCACGAAATTCTATTCTTCAGCGACGTGGCCAATGTGAAGAAGCAGATAGTCGGTTCGCCACGCGGCGCCATACACATGGCGTTGAGCAATCCCGTTCACTATTTACAGGTAATGGCCGACATACAGTTATGAGTAAATTTTATTTTTTAACATGTGTTCGTTTGTATTTTTACTTTACAGTGGTAGCCACGGTAGCTTTGTTTCCTCAGCACTTTTAGTTCAGTTCTCTCGAGCGATCAATATTGAATACCTGCGCCTGCAATAATTCTTAAGCGCAATTATATAATGATGTTCCATCGTTAATACAAAGAAATTACAGAGAACTCTAATTTTTCCAATGTAATATTGTATATGCTATATTGTGAAGTAGGCCATTTCGCAATCCGCTTTTCTAACTACATCGTCATATCATAGGGCATCCTATGCCATCTATTCAGACGGGGTTTTTGCTCAGCAGTAGAACACATATATATACGCCGCTTTTTATTTTGTTATGTTTTGTGAAATGTGTAACAAGTTGACGGTATGGTACCGTTAACAGATTGTTAGACCTAAAGAGAAATTGACATATTTAATTTCACTTAAGTTTCACACTTGTTGTTTCGAAGTGAATGTGTTCCGTCTCCGTTGGTTGGTCTAGCTGATTTAAAATAAATGTCTAGATATTAGATTATACATATATAGGTTTTCTATGTATTCATGTATGTTTAAGTATATTTCTGGTGACTGATCCATTAATTTAAAATGATTTCAATTCTTTGCGCTATTAAAGCATTCCTAACTTTGATTTGATGGTGGGAAAATAATTGTCACTTGTATGTTTTATTTACGATTTTGCCACGACAGTGTAAGTGCTGCGTACTGCCTTCGCTGGATAGTGTGGCTGACACCTTACCGGACGTGTGTTTGGCTTACAAGCTACACAGAGAATGCGGGAAACATATCAACCTATATGACTGGTTGCAAGCCTTCGCCGCAGTACTGAAACCTGATGAGGAAGACGATCAGCGTTTTAAGGATACCAGTGTGCAGTTAGTATGCCTATATTATGTCGTTAAAAATATCCGTATGCAAGAGCCCGCTTCGTCAAAATCGAACGAGTAGATTGCTCACCTGATGAACTCTTGACCGCTGACCATAGAGTTTTACATCGCCTGACCGGTTGCAGAGGCATCCTTGACCTTTTATAAAGTGTGAGGAAGTTTCCCCAGACGAAACTTAAATTCGTAAACATTTCCATTTTGCCCCGGTGCATGCTAATTTCACGGGCGATCCCACGCATTAGTACAATGGACCAACGCATTAGAAGCTGGTATTGCGCGGTTGTACCACACTAAAACTCCTAAAGCAATCAGGAACCCATAGGCGGAAGATATCGTCTAACATCCGGCCAAACTTTGTTTTTTTATCCGCCCGGGACTAAGAACAAAATCAAAAATTTTCACCCGAGATCACGCTGTAACACGCAAAAACAATGTTAAACATATTTTTTTATAATATGAAAAGAATTATTGTCGAGCAAAACATTCTTTATTAGAAACAGTTTTACCGACTGATAACAGCGTAAGTCTAATTCGCATGGAAACACATACAAATTATTTTTGATATAGCCCGTTTTAAAAACTATTAATGAAGTCGGTCAAAAAAGAACAATTTAGCTGCATGAAATCTTAAAGTTTTTATATAGTGCTAATCTCTGCACTTAAGATTTTTCTACATGTTTTAATGTTCATGAAATCTGACAGTATTCTGGCGGCTCAAAAATTTTGCTGCTGCAAAATTTCCTCGTAGCATGGTAGCATGTTTGTATTCGTTTTTTAGTTGAAAATGCTCGATCTCTGTTGGAGTCAAAATATTTGTATAACTTTAACCCCTTTTTTAAATTAAACCTAGGCCTTCTATGAAATTCCCAACTTTCATTTCGAAACTAAAATATCACAATGTATTATATATAAATACATACTAGCGGACCGACAGACGTCTGTCCTGTATATACGATTTAAATCTGACAACAATATGGAAACAAAATATAAAAAAAACATTTTAGTATCCCGAATTGTGAATCGAAACCATTCTCGAATCGACTTGAAGACACACAAAAAATTTCATTATAATGGGTCCAGCCGTTTAGGAGGAGTTCAATGACATACACACGTACAAAAGAATTATATATATAAAGATTAACAGCTACTCTTGCTCATGCATTTCTATTAGCTGAATAATTGTCAACTCCTGAATTTAGGAATCCAGCAGTTTTTTATCGTCATATAAAAGAATAAAAATTTTGAATAGACGACATTTGACAATCGTCGAGGTATACTGTACTTGTTTTTCTTTCGTGAACGTGGCAGGTGCACGTTTGATATCCTGATGCTTAATATCAGGATAAACGCCGGCCATGAATATTTGCGACATCCGGTAGGGTTGCCACCGTTGCCATACGTTAGTAGGTAAGTAGGTATATGCATGTTAATTTGTCTATTACACATAATATGTCTTGGAAAATCTTTTACGTCTGAAAAAGACGGTCTAAAGACTGTCTGTGATAAAGACGGTCACAGAATAGTAAATTCCTAAGCTACCTACGCTTAAAATTCGCTAAGACATACAACATACCTGCTGTTTCTAACACTTGACATCACATCACCATCTGATGTTGTGTATTACGTATAATTAAAAGTTTTATATGTATAATATTTTTGCTTTATATAATTTTAATGAAATCGAAATTTCGAACAAAGTTTAATACCACACGACCAGTACAAATTAAATTACATTAAATTAAATTGTTTGCCTTGCTATTGCCTAAGACAGCGAGCATGATACTTAATCGTCAGTTATTTGCAGATTTTCTTTATTGCGTCCTGGTCGAGGCGTTGTATTATGAATTTTAAATAGCCGGTTTGGTAACGGGTATAAAGTCCAATTTTTTGCATTGGTGTGATTCCACGTTATAAAAATATAGTTTAGATGCGATGGTTACACATACTTGGGTTGTTGCCAAATTCTGTTTTGGGTAAACGTTTTTATTTTTTGTTTTCCTGCATTCATAAATAAAAAAGAGATTTCAGTTTCTCTATTGGGAGAAATCTCTAGATATCTAGAACTACCGTGTTTTATTCTTAACTGCAATGCGTCGTTCATCATTATTTTATAATGATTTTGCCCCAGCAAGCTTGCCACGATTTTCTTTGACGATTAAAGACGATGTTTTACCATCTTGGAAGAATCACACGAAAAAACATTAGCGACCGGAACTGTCAGGAATAAAAATATAGTTTTTCCATCCATGCTACAGCTCAAATTCAATCCTGTCTTTTTGTTTCGTACACATGAAAAAAGCTCCGTGGGATAGTTTGGATGTGCATTGGGACCATAAATGCCGTAAACATTATCAATTACAAAAAAAAAACTGTAAATAATTTTCTTATAAGTAATAATCAATAATAAAACCTCTGGAGCCAGAAGTGTCCACGCGAAAACAAGTCACCTTTTCTATTGAAATAATACCCTTTGCAGTAAGGCCGATCAATGCCATCGACCTTGGACATGAGTCGTAGCATGAGTATTTCCATAGCAAAAAAAAAGCTTTAATAATAAGATGTTTTAAAGTCGCGATCGAAGTCGCGCGTTGTGTTTTTGTATTGTACCTTCATGGACGAAAAATGATTTTATTCCTCTGTTAACCGATTTTATTTAGTCATTGTAAGCTTCATTAAAAGAATCTGTTAAAAATAACATTCAATGACCGCTTCGATTTCGAAACGAGAACGAATATTATTCTTCATCTTTTTATCTATCGTTTTCATCATCATCTTCCTCTTGTTCTTATCCCACCTAGGTTGAATCGACACAACATTTGTTTCATATTATTTAGGTTTCGAAACCAATAGCTTAGTAACGGCGTCACCGAGCCATTAATTATTCCCATATAAATCAGATTTTAGAGATAAGTTTTTAATGAAGAGTACCTGGAGGTTTTATTTTTGGTAAATCATGCATTTTGGAAATAAAAAAAATAAAAATTCAAGAAAATGATCTGGTATAGAAAAAAAGTAAAAAAAAAATAAGTGTATAAAATGATGGTGATACGAACCGCGGCCGTCTGTTTTGGGGCCGCCCGATTACCGACAGAGCTTTTAGAACATTTTTTGTGCGGCGAAATTTACTGTCATATTCGAATGATATTTTTCATTCCCCGAAAACGGATAAAAGGACATTTTCTCAAAATGAAACCTAGCTAGATAGATTTTTGCCCCCGAATCTACGCACATATTAATTTCATGATACAAGAATTGCTCGTTTAAAGGATAAGATTACCCAAATATTTTTCCATTTTTAAGCTCGCCTTTTTTTTTTTAAAAAAAAAATATTTATCTAACTCAGACATTTTTCTCATAAAGCTTTTAATTTATTTTAATATAAGCGCTTATCGCTATTTACATTCATGACCGAATGAAATTATCATCATTCGCGTTCCGCGCATCGTGAATCTTATTAAAGAAGTACTTTTATTTTTCAAAGTCTTGTTGCCCCCTGTGGTGCGTTTTGAGGCATTAGTTCGACGGAGAGATAAGTTCGCATCATTAAGCCGTATCTATTTAGCTACATCGTTCTCTCCGTGTATTGAGAGCTCTTTATTGGAGTAGCGAATTCTAAAGTTATAATTGGTAAAGTTATTTTCGTTTCTTTTTTTTATGTAATAAAGTGGCAAACGAGATGGCGGTTTACCTGATGTTAAGTAATAACCGCCGCCCATAGAAATTTGCAACACTACGGGTGTCGCAAATGCGTTGCCACCTATAAATAAAGCGGGCCCCGGCTACCTCACTCACCAGACGAAACGCAGAAGTATAACACTTCTACTTTACGACGCTCTTCTATGAGGTCGTGGTAACTACCTGGACGGACCTGGCCATTCGTGCAACAGTGAAAACTGTTGAGTGGCCCTACCACAGTTCTACGTTAAAAGCTTTTTCAGGGCTAACGTCAGTACAACAAGTGTTGATTGTAGAAATAATTATCGTGTCCGTGACACAGTGCATCAATTTTTTATTTCCTAACGATTTCGCGCAACGTGAGCAAAGATGTGTGAACGCAACCTTAAATAAACACAGTGTCATAGTACTAGTATCTTTATGATACGGACGGTCTAGAGATTATATTAACCACACTTCACGCTAACATAAATATGTTAATTACAAAGAAATATATATTATTTATTTCAATTTACTACTTTTATTATGAAATATAGTATTTCTTTTGCGTATCTATATATTCCTCCGACGCGTTCATATTCTTTTCCACCCAACCAATTTTTATGTAATTTACCATTTTCAACACACTAAATGTTATTGTTTAGGTCATTATAATTGACTAAGGTAAAGAACATTGAAGTTTAATCCAACAATAGATTACTTAAAGTAAAAACGAGCCGGTAAAAAACTCAAGCATGTCAAAAATTTCGTATATATAGCCTTGTTTTGTTTGTATTTGCCTTTGTCTTTGTACATAACATTAAAATAATTTGCCTTAGAATGTTTATGTCTCGCATTCTATTTTATATTTTCTGTTTCAGAGCTCGATTCACCCACGCCGTCGCCGAACTGCAGTTTTTAGGGTTTATAAAGTCATCTAAAAGAAAGACTGATCATGTAATGCGATTGACGTGGTAATAGTATTTTCTAGAATTAGGTTTTTTTTAATGTATTACTGTGTCATAATAAAATTTTGCCAAATAACTTTTATTTAAACTCTCATAGATCATCTCTCGATTATTTTCTATAATAGTTATATACTCGTAAGAGCCTCGTTGAGCCGTGATAGCTCAGTGTCCAGGCGCTCACCTTTATTTCGATATACTCGAGCAACCTGAGTTCGATCCCCGGTGCCGGCACCAATGAAGTTTTTAACTTTAAGTGCTGACTTATCACGTGCTCTGCGGTGAAGGAAAACATCGTGAGGAAACCTGCATATTTTCGAAATAATAACAAAAAAAAAATATTTTTCGAAGATATGTGAAGTCCGCCAATCCTCAGTGGGGCAGCGTGGTGGACTATGCCCTGATACCCTCTGTACAGAGGAGGTCTTTGCCCAGCAGTGGGACATGTATAGGCTGTTACTTTATTTTTTTTTTTTTAGTTACTACATTTATTACTTTTACTCGTAAGAGCCATGTTGAGAGTGCGTTTTCGATGCGCTCATGTCATATCCACCTCGTATTTGTATATAATATCATTGGTTTTCTACGAACTTTCCGTGTGACCCACGTAGTACCGACATTAAAACTACATCAACATTAACACGTTGAACGCCTCTTGAAAATATATTACTTTTCATTGGAGCCACGCGGGTCACAAGTGAGCCAAACCATACTGAACCGTTCGGGCTACGCGGGTCACCCGTGAGCCACACCACGACTTGATTCCTATTTTGCAGGCCACTACACGCTGATATCATACAAAAATCTTAGTAGCGTGGGCCGTGTGGCCTCCTACAACAACCCAGTCAGCTAGGTTCTCATGTCTCGCAATAGACTTAGAATTTATTGACAGTTTTCTTTACTTTTATTGGGTTGTTCTCTATTAAAATAAAAAAGTGGATATATTGCAATAAAGGAAAATCTATTATTAGTTTTTTAATGTTTCTTTATAAAAAAATGAAATAAATTACAAACATCCTAACATACATTATTGTATGACACAGGTTTCTTGAAGTCATAAAATGAAATAGGTGAAATCATGACGTCAAGCTTATGCGTAATACTGATTAATATTGGGCTTTAAAATAACTCACACTGGTGTAAAAGAAACCGACCTTGAATTATAATTTCACGAAATAAAGTATGGTCCCGACCTCTGGAAAGGTTAAGAGCACATACATCGCTTTTATTTGCGTCTTGCATAGCGACGTGAGCCTAGTTTTTCTAACATTCTAAATTAAAATGTATATATTGTTAGTAATAATTATCTTCGCTTATAAAATTATTGCTGTTTTTTGTTATAAATCTGACCTTTTCAAGTTTGTTAAATTTATTATACGCGATCCAGGCACTTTTTATAAAGAATTTTATGTATATTTTTATATTTATGATTAATTGAAAATAATAAAACTTGCGCCACTGCAAAAGCGACTGCGAATCCACCACAGGGTACATCTGTGGTGGATTCGCAGTGGCCGCCCTAGGCCCCAGGCTAGTATTAAGTATCAGCCTCCTCTTGCTCAGCATCCATCACATAGATTACATGACGAATTTACTTTATTACCGAATTTTATCGAAATCGATTCAGAAATTTAGTTAACTAAAATACGTGCAAGTTTGTAATAATATCCAAGTTTTAATAATAATAATAACCCTCGGCCGTTTGGTCTCGCAAGCTGAGGGCTTCCGTCTGGTTGGATCCTATTTCGTTATGTATAATACAGTACTTATGTCTCTGTTGATTTCTATAAGTGAAAACATTGACTGTCTTGTTACTATTTTGTTTCCTTATTTATGTTGTTTAAGCTATTGGTTTTTTATTAAAATAAAATTAAATAATAAAATTTATAAACCCAATCAGAAGAGAAAACAGAACAAACAGAACAGAACAAATATCCCCCCAAAATAATTCCTGATTTAAATATACAACTTAAATGTTTAATCTCATACAAGATACGTGTTTATGTATTATATTTGTTGTTTACGTTTTATACGTGTGATTGGCTCCGTTCTTACAAATGTAGTCATCACGCGTGAACTCGTCGACTGTTACTTTACATTACTTATTTTACACGTATTGTTACTTTACATTATGCATATTATGTAACATATCTATATTTTTCACTTAAAATGTACGAAAGTAATTAAAAAAGCTTATTGTTATTCGATGAAGTGCAGTACTGCGCAACATAATGTGCGATGGTACTTTAGAATTTAGAACACTTAGTTATATTGAGCCTATTTGTAGCCTGGTCCTACCGGGCCTTAGGGCTGGTAGGACCTACACTATGTGTACCCGTCAATGTCATTTTTGCTTTGACAAACTATCAACTTCCTATTTTGCTGCTATAGCAAATTTGTTGTTATGATTAGAGCACCCTTACTAATATTTAACACCGTCCGGTAAAACAAAGCTGCTTGATACACTTTAAAAAGAAAAAAGTTGTGATATCAATTCGCATTACATAAGCATGCAATTCAGTATTAAAACGTAGGTACACTAATAAGAGCCCAGAAGAAATAATTCATCATCATCATTTCAGCCTGTTTGAGTCCACTGCTGAACATAGGCCTCTCCCATAGACTGCCATGAAGTACGATCCTGAGCCACCTGTATCCATCGACTTCCCGCACATTTCCACAGGTCGTCACTCCATCTAGTGGGGGGTCGTCCTACACTGCGATGGCCAGTACGAGGCTGCCACTCGAGAACCTTTCTTCCCCAACGGTTATCGGTTCTACGAGCTATATGGCCGGCCCATCGCCACTTCAGCTTGCTAATCCTCTGAGCTATGTCGGTTATCTTAGTTCTACTGCGGATGTCTTCGTTACGAACTCTATCACGCAGAGAAATACCGAGCATAGCCCGCTCCATAGCTCGCTGAGCGACTTTGAGCTTCCTCATACGGCCAGCAGTGAAGGATCACGTCTCGGTTCCGTAGGTCATTACTGGCAACACACATTGATTCAAGACTTTAGTCTTCAAACATTGAGGTATATTCGACGAGAAGATTTGCCGAAGTTTCCCGAAGAAATAATTATCCATACTTAAATTGATTTATGGATATTTAGAGTAAATCGTTATCTATGAATGTGGCATTTAAATTAATAATTCCATAGTATACAGAAGTAAGAAAGTTCAGTTATTGTATTTTTATTAGGTTATGATTGTTAGTTAGATTTTTATCAAGGTATTATTTGTTAGCGATAAATTTTAATAAGAGTTCATCAATCTGTTTCTTAAATAATCATTTACTGTCTGCCTGCACGTCTAGAGACCTTGGCCCCTCTACTTTTAATTACATGACAGAGATGTTAACTTAGCATAAATTAATGACATCATTTTATTTTTTGAATATTTAACCTAAGTTTCTAAGCTCCAAGTTTTATTTCCGTTTTTATTATCATAAATAAATATTTTAATTGACTTATACAAAATAATTAAACGAAAGAAAAATGATTATTATACATAAGATAATAGTTTTTTTTGTAAAAAAAACGAAAGTTGGTAGTTTGTGTCGCCATTCAATGCATGAAACTTAATGATTTTTGTTTTGATTTTTTTATGTCATATTTAATTTGCACTGGCAAATGATTTTCATTCATTAAAATCCATTAAGAAATGAAAAAGGAAGCTTGTATACTTTATATTGAAATATCTTTAAAATAAACGTAATAAAAAATTAAAATAACCTGTAGGTATAGACCATGTCCGAATATTGGATTTATGTAATACTAGCTGTGCCCGCGATTTCGTCCGCGTGGAATTTTAAATAAAAAAAAACTAAAATAAAAGTAGCCTAAGTTACTCCTTATTACATCAGCTATGTGCCAGTGAAAACCCCGTCCAAATAGGTCCAGCCGTTTCAGAGATTAGTCGGAACAAACAGGCAGACAGACAAAAATTGTGAAAATGTTATTTTGGTATATGCACCGTGTATACATCCATATGCATCATTAAAAAGCGGTTATTTTTAATATTACAAACGGACACCAATTTTATTTATCTGTATAGATTATTGTAACAATTACGTTCTAAAGTGGATAATTCATGTAAATGTATGTATTAATTCTAAATTCAATCGCATCTTCACAGAAGTATAATTATTCGTTTGGAATTATTTATATAAGACGTGAGCATTACGCATTTTAATGCACATTATGCCGTAATATTAATACGGTTTGATATTTGGGGTTTAAAGCTATTGCGTATAAAATTATATTCTTAGAATATTTTTAATACAGATCAAAATGCTCTTGATTAATTGTTAGACGGTTAAATAATCAAAAGTGATTGCCTTAATCCTTTAAAAAATCACAAGACTTAGTACTTAATAATAAACATTTTATATAAAAGTTTTTAGTATTTCTGATAGTCTTATGAATCTTTTTCTTCTGGACCGTGCTTCCGACCTACTCCTGGTACAGCCCTTCTTGTATCTTGTACTAGCGACCTACTTGGCTTCGCATGGGTGCAATGTATCATACATATAAACCTTCGAGCACGAGGGCAGCGGGACGACTTTGTTTTATACTATGTAGTGATTAACTGATGTTAACGCTTTCAGTCCCGAGACTATTAAACCTTCATCGAACGCAGAACCGGTGGGCTGGCCAGAACCCACGGGTTTGAGGCCCTCCACAGTGGGTAGGGCCGCGCATGTGCTCATGCGTGCGTTAGCTAAGGCGTACAGCCCATATTAATCTTTAACCCAAGGATGTGTCAGGATTACATTTAAATTCGATATTGTTCTAACCCGGTCGAAGAAGAGGTCGTAGGTGCGTCGGACCCACAGAGGGTCCCGCTAGATAGCTCTATATCCACACATAATGCTAACATAAATAAGCAATTAGCTTATCCTAGCTTACGAACACGCCAAGACCAACACAATGTCAATGTACAACTACCATTCCAACTCCAACTAATGTAAACCCGCTTCCTCACCGCCTTAGAACGCGGGTGTGTCCTGT